AAGGGCAACAAAGATGATTCAAGGATTGGAGCATCTCCCTTATGAAGAAAGACTGAGAGAGCTGGGACTCTTTAGCCTGGAGAAGAGGAGGCTGAGGGGAGACCTTATTAATGCTGACAAGTATCTCAAGGGTGGGTTGAAGGAGGATGGAGCCAGACTCTTTTCAGTGGTTCCCAGTGACAGGACGAGGGGCAACGAGCACAAGTTGGAACATAAGAGGTTCCACTCAAATATGAGGAGAAACTTCTTCACAGTGAGGGTGGCAGAGCCCTGGAAGAGGCTGCCCAGGAAGTTTGTGGAGTCCCCTTCTTTGGAGATCTTCAAGACCCGCCTGGATGCTCCTGAGTCACATGCTCTGACAAGCTCTAGGCAATCCTGCTTCAGCAGGGGAGTTGGACTAGATGATCTCTATGGTCCCTTCCAACTCTAAAAATTCAGTGAAATTCAGTGAAATTCAGTGAAATCCCTTTGCTCCAAGTCCCTCTTAAAGCCAATGTGCAAAGGGAAAACTCAATCTCTTCTCTCATGGTGCCAGGTTCTCTCCTTTGTTCACAAATTCGACTCCCCCTGAGGTGTTTGCAAACATCTTTTTGCTGTCTACCCTAGAGTTCTAACAGAAAGCTCCCAAGACACAATATGATCTCCAGAAAAATGCTTATGGCTTAATGATAAACACATAATCTTTTCACATAGCTGATTCAAAAAATACCATATCTATTCTTAAGTAACTTAAATGTTGGGTAGCAGCTTCCTCTGCTTCAGAGCAAATGCATCTGTTAGTTACTTCTGATGCACTTCTCACTGCCCTTTGGTCTTTTTTATTACACTTAAATGTAATAATGCTCTTCAGCGATCTGAAAATCACACTGAAAGTGTTCTTTTTCATTGTTCTGTATTTTCTTTCTTGCAATCAGAGATGGCAGTTGTTTGTCACAAAGAAGAGGAGGGATTGAAACAAATAGATTTTTAGTTATTATCAGTTCATTTTGGCAACTTGCACCGCGTGCTGAGAGGTGTGCTCTTCACTTCTCAGGGCTTGCTTGCAGTGTTCGAACTGCTCATCTGCACATCTCTCATTCTGTGATTATGTCACTAATCTCCTCTGTTGATGCCCTTAATGCTTACTCACTTTGTATTCACAAATGCCTATGAGCATTATGATATTCCTATTATCCACTAATTGGTAATGATGCTCTCTATTCCCACTGCCCTAGGTTCTTGTTAGCAAAACAACTTGCAGGATTTCATTTCTGATTAATATTTGTTTGCTGGATGGATGCTAGGATCTCCCATTTCCCTTTGCTCTACTTACTCTTGCTCAAGTGCCAAGGCCGTGAACACATTGCATTCATTAAGTCTATATGAAAAACCTTCTATTTGTGTGAACGGAAGACAAAGAAATAGTTCAGCATATAGAAAAGCAGTTACAGTGCAACTTTTGTGTGTCTCTCCTGGCCAATACCCTTAAAGGAATTCTGTATGTTTTACCTTCAAGCTGTTTTATGATCTTCAAAATGCACTGTTCCACAGAATGTCCCAAATCCGCTCTATTTGTATTTACTCTGGGAGCAATGAATAGTTAATTTGCATGTAGATGTATGTAAGGTGGTGAATATATGAGCTGTGGAAGAAAACAATCAGCTTCATAGAGAAAGACATGCTTTGAACTGACCATTACAATTTTGGAACAGATTCTTGGGCTTATGATAGTTTCATGAACAGCCTCGTTCTCAAGTAGTGGCTAGAAGAACAGAAATTTTTAAGAAGTAATAAAATAAGGCAAATAAAATTTTAGGAATTATTAGGAAAGGAATAGAGAACAAAAAAAGAGACACTGCTTTCCCACCAGGTATGTGTGGTTCACCTTTCCATTGTAGCTAAACAATAGAAAAGTGTAGTACTAATTTGTTAACTTTAAATGGCTCAATTGGTCTATTAATTGTAGCTTTTGGCCTCAAGGTTCCACAACTTCTATTGCCCTTTCAAGGGAGCTTGCAAAATAGCTGTGAAATGTACATCCCCAGAAACATGCTTAAACTTGAAAAAGCATTTCAGGTTGTTCAGTTTGCAAGTCTTGTTATTTATTCTTTAACGATGTACAAGACAAAACTGAGTAAACATTGAGGAACCCTGGTGTGCTCTAGAGGCCAGTGA